GACCTTCTGACACGCAAAGTCAATGGGGAAACCAGATTCAGTTAACAACCGGGCTACTCATTTAACGACCGCAGTGGTCGTTATTTCCAGTGGTCCCAACCAACATAGCGAGTGAGGCTGAGATTTGTAAATCAAAAAAAAAGGTGGCGAGAAAAGTCGTAAAAGGGGGCAAAGCTCCCTTAACAAATTCATCCCTTAGCAACGTAAATTTTGAGCGCAATTGTGGTTGTAAGTTGAGAGTTACCTGTATTCCAGCCCTAGAATTTCAGTGGTCCCAACCAACATAGCGAGTGAGGCTGAGATTTGTAAATCAGCAGCATAGAGTAGGTTGCAACAGTTTTTCCCAACCTGGGAAACTTCCTGATAGGTGAATTTTCAACGGGGATCTTACTTTCTTAGGATAAATAAAGAACACCCAAAAGATTGATTTTGGCAGCATGCCAGCTTCCAATTATTATTTTACCATTTTTTAAAAGAAATACCATGTAGGTCTAAGCATATTATATATATATTTAATACCACTCTATAAAGCCCTAGTAAGACCACACCTAGAGTACTGCATCCAGTTTTGGTCACCACACTAGGAAAAAGATGTTGAGACTCTAGAAAGAGTGCAGAGAAGAGCAACCAAGATGATTAGGGGACTGGAGGCTAAAAGATATGAAGAACGGTTGCAGAACTGGGCATGGCTAGTCTAGTGAAGAGAAGGACCAGGGGAGACAGGATAGCAGTCTTCCAATATTTGAGGGGCTGCCACAGAGAGGAGGGGGGTCAATCTGTTTTCCAAGGCACCTGAAAGCCAGACAAGGAATAATGGATGGAAACTGACCAAGGAAAGATTCAACCTAGAAATGAGGAGGAACTTTCTGACAATGAGAACAATCAACCCATGGAACAGAAGTTGCCTTCGGAAGTTGTGGGAGCTTCATCACTTGAGACTTTCAAGAAAAGATTGGACTGCCATTTGTCAGAAATGGTGTAGGGTCTCCTGCTTGGACTAGATGACCTATAAGGTCCCTTCCAACTCTGTTAAATATGGTAAATATATCTGAGCCTGCTTGGAACCTGCGGACCAGGGTGGATAAAAATCAATGATTTTTAAAAAAAAATAATAAAAAAAATCAGATCTTTTTTATTTAAATCGGATTTTTTTTATTTTTATCGAATTTATTTCAATAAAAAACTTTTGGGATAAAAATCTATCGTAAGATAGTTTTCTATTTAAGATACATAAATAATTTAGTTTATTCAGCATGAAATGGAGCTTAGTTATGTAGCATGAGGCTGTATATTCTGCAACACTGGGACTATCGGTGAGTCAACAATGGGTCAAAGTAGCAGAGATGACCGTTGCTCTTTAAAAATTATGATTTAAATCGAGTTGATTTAAATCAAGCCTTTTTACTAGTGATTTAAATCATGATTTAAATTGTGATTTAAATCAACTCGATTTAAATCAGATCCACCCTGCTGCGGACGTAATATTTCCTCTCTTAAATCCCAGTCGTTCGTGGCCTTCGGCTGTGATTTAACTGTGTTTTTGGGAGGCTTGAGTTTGGCTTGCCCTCAACTGGCATATGGAGAATGCTTAGGCAGGCAGAACGGAAAGGATGCCCAGTTGATTGCAAATAAATGCATTGTTAAAACACAGACCGAGTTGTAGCTGGATGTGTCCTACAAAGAGCTGAGGAAGACCTTGTCACCTTTATCCATCCATCAAAGAAAGCAGGACTGAGTGTCCTTGTTCACAATCGGTCATTGGCTGGTCGCTTTCCAATTGGATTACAGGTAGTTCTCGATTTACCATTTTCTTTACTGACCCGTTTGAAATTACAACGGTGACTTACGATAGTTGTTGTTCACACTTACAGTTGGAGGATCCTGGGATCGCATGATCCTCACGGTGACCTTCTGACAAGCCAAGTCAATGGGAAATGCTGGATTCAACTAATGACCATGTGATCCACCTACCTGTAGCGATTTGCTTAATGACTATGGGAAGAAAGCTCATAAAATTGGACGTGGCACTTAATAACCACCTCACTTAGCGACAGAAGTTCCAAGCCAAAATGTTCTGGATTGAGGACTTGCTGTATTCTCATATGGAAGATTTATTTATTTATTTATTTATTTATTTATTTATTTATTTATTTATTTATTTATTTATTTATTTATTCATTCATTCATTCATTCATTCATTCATTCATTCATTCATTCATTCAATTTATAGTAGTGGCCAAAATTGTGGAAACCTTTTGGGAAAAGTGTATTTTTGAACTTTGATGGCTAATAACATCACTTTTTTTTTAAGAGTTTCAAGATAATCCTATTCCACTGCTGGAATGGCCTGCGAGTAGCCCAGACTTTAACCCAACTGAAAATCGATGGAGCCAACTAAAGAAACTTGTTAGTCAGAAGCGCCCACCAATAAAACCCAGTTAATTGAAGCAATCATTCAATCTTGGTTTCACATTAGAACAGCTGCAGAACTAAAAGACTTGGTTCACTCCATGGGAAGACCTTGTAAGGCTGTAATTCATGCTGTTACCCAACTAAGTATTAACTGACATGGTGATCATTTTTGTATATCTTTATACTGCAACTGCTATTTTAATAGCAAATCCTTCATAAAAGTTATTGCATTACATTCTTGATTAAATTATCTTTCCATTCATATATAATTTTATGGAACTACTCCAAAAAAAAAAAAAAAGTGGTGTTATTAGCTAGTTTTAGAAAATACACTTTTCCCAAAAAGGTTTCCACAATTTTGGCCACTACTGTAGATTGCAAAGAGGAAGCAAAGTTGAAATGGTGGCAGAGAAAACCTGAAATGGATCAAATCCATGTTCATTCATGAAAAATATTTCCCGTTCTTTGAGCAAGGTGTCATCAGCCAACTCTATCTTGCAGGATTGCGGTATGAAATTCCTTAGAAGAAGAATGGGATGCAGAGACGAGAACTTTTATTCAGAGTGAATTCAGGGTGGTATTTCTGTCTTAAGAAGGTTGTAAAAATGCTTTTGGCAGACTTTTGGCATTGCAGAAGCTGGACATTCACATTAATTGAAGGCAGATGCCTGCAACCTCATTTTCTTTGTCTTTTTAAAACACCTCTTGACTGGCTTCAGTTTATATCGATTCATTTCCAAAGTGGCCTTTGGGCATTGAACCAATTGCTGTATTTTTCACTTCTGTCTCTTGTGCTACTGGCGTCTTGGCCTTGAAACCCTAGCTTGTTTGGGGAGTGTGGGAAATTATGACAAGTTTTACCAGGAAGGGAATGTCTATGTGAGATCTCACCAATGGAGGTTGTGAATGCTAATGGGCTGTGTAATTTAGGGGCGTTTACAGGGACGCGGTGGCTCAGTGGCTCAGACGCTGAGCTTGTCGATCGAAAGGTCGGCAGTTCAGCGGTTCGAATCCCTAACGCCATATAACGAAGTGAGCTCCTGTTACTTGTCCCAGCTTCTGCCAACCTAGCAGTTTGAAAGCACGTAAAAAAATGCAAGTAGAAAAATAGGGACCACCTTTTGTGGGAAGGTAACAGCATTCCGTGCACTTTGGCGTTTAATCATGCTGGCCACTTGACCATGGAGACATCTTCGGATAGCGCTGGCTCTTCGGCTTTGAAATGGAGATGAGCACCGCCTCCTAGAGTCAGGAATGACTAGCACATATGTGCGAGGGGAACCTTTATCTTTTAGATGGTTAGACCATACTGATTCCCCAACCTATTTCCTTCTCTCTCTGGCAGGAGTGTCAAACTCAAGGCCCAGGGGCCGGATTTGGTCCACAGGATGCTTAGATCTGGCCCTTAGTGAAGGACTGGCCTCCGGTGCCTCTTCCAGCAAAAATAGAGCTCGGGAGGGTCACATGCGGCCCTCCCGAGCTCCGTTTTCGCTGGCAGAGGGTTGCAGGAGGCCGTCGCAACTGAAAACGGAGCTCGGGAGTCCATTTTTGCTGGCAGAGCGCTTGGGCCACTACCTGCGCCCCGACATGAGTGATGTTGAGCTGGCCACGCCCACTGTCCACGCCCCCTCCCACTGGGTCAAACACAACCCTGATGTGTCCTTCAATGAAATCAAGTTTGATTTCAACACCTGCTTTGTGGAGTCAAGTCTGAAGTGGACTCAGCAGAAATCCAGCTGGTAGTGGGTACAGTTGGATTTTTGCAGTTTTCTCAACTTGTATCTGTTTGAAAAAAATCTCTAGAGAAGGGCAATTTGAGGGAATGGATTAGTACCGGTAGTTCTTGACTTAGAACTGTTCGTTTAGTGACCGTTTGACATTACAACAGCCCTGAAAAAAGTAACCGATGACCGTTTTTCACATTTACAATTGTTATCCCCACGGTCACGTGATCAAAAGACGTTTGGCAACTGAGTCATATTTATGACGGTTGCAGTATCCCGGGGTCATGCGATCACCTTTTGCAATTTTCCAACAAGCAAAATCAATGGGGAACCCAATGGGGAAGATTCATTTAACGACCGTGTTAACTAATTTAACAAGTGCAGTGATTCACTTAACCCCTGTGGCAAGGAAGGTTGTAAAATGGAGCAAAACTCACTTAACCAATGTCCCGCTTAACAACAGTACTTTTGGGCTCAATGATGGTCGTAAGTCAAGGACTACCTGTTACTCGATTGTTCCTTAACTGTTTCCTGGTGTAACTCAAAAGAGTGATGAACTGCCTTAAGTGAACTGCATAACTTCGAATGGTCATGTAAGTTGAGGATGAGAGAGAGAGAGAGAGGGAGGGAGGGAAGGAGCAGTGGTGAAATCTAAAATTTGTTACTACCGCTTCTGTGGGCGTGGCTTGATGGTGGTGGGGGTAATGTGATTGGGTGGGCGTGCCAATTTTTTTTTTACTTTTAAAACCAAGTTTGGTATGAATTGGCAATCCTTGTTTGGCAAATGCATCCTTCTGTTTTGTTATTTTTTTTTTAAAAAAAATTCAAGGTTCAGCTAATTGTTCTAATTATCGTTTTCTTTAGACACTGATCGAGCTTTAGCACTTCTGGAAGATTATTGTAAGAAGTTAAAAAAGCCAGAGGAGCAACAACTGAAAAAAGCCATTAAGAAAGTGATGGGCATCTTTAAAAGCAGTTTGTTCCAAGCCTTGCTAGGTATGTAAACGAATGCTTTTTTGTCGTACTTTTATGCTTCATTTATTTGGATGTTGTCCTAGATGGCTTTTGAAAGTCCCCAAAACACTTTCCGAGATCTGGGAATACTGAATGCTATTGGCTATTGGTTATCGATTATAATAATTACGAACGATAACCTGATGAAAGGCAAGGTTTTTTTTCATGCTATTTGCTTTAGGAGAAAGTTCGCCAGTTGCTTTAGGAGAAAAGTCACCAGTTCTGTAAAGGAACCATTATTTAGGAGGAAAAATATTTTGGAACAAAAGGTTCTCTAGTCCCAAAGATGCTTTTTCAAAAGGGAGCTGGATTTTTTTGATTTTCCCCCCCCCTGAAAATGTTTCACTTCTCATCCAAGAAGCTGCTTCAGTTCTGAAGCTTTTTGGACGAGAAGCGAAACATTGTTCTGGCCTAGACTTCCCAAAAGCACGAAGCCAACTCCTCATCCTGATAAAACCTCTTTTATTTAAGTTAAAGGGAATTCCTCTCCAGAAAAGTCCCGGCCACAGTCTTTCCAGAGATTTCATAACTACAGACCTTTATCAGGCTTGGAGAGCTGCCAGGCCGATATCTTCCAAACGCCATTCTGTAGCAGACAATACTTGGCAAGAAGTCAGGAACAGATCTTCACTATAATGAATTGAACTAATTGTCTCCTGCAAACTCCCCTCCCCTTTCGCTCCTCTTTATTTATTTATTTATTTATTTGTTTGTTTGTTTGTTTGTTTGTTTGTTTATTATTCGTAGTTCTATGCCGCCCAACTCTCTGAAGACTCTGGGCAGCTTACAACAAAGACAGTATGAACAATATACAATAAGAGACGTTAAAAAAACCCCATACACACCGCTCATGGCTAGATCTCACAAGATCACAGTGGTGAGATCAACAGCCCCAAGCCTGCCGGAAAAGCCAGGTTTTCACCATTTTCTGGAAGGCCAGTAGGGTGGGAGTGGTCCTGGCTTCAGGAGGTAGCTGATTCCAGAGAGCTGGGGCAGCCACAGAGAAGGCCCTCCCCCGCGGACCCACCAGGCGAGTCCATGGGGGAGGGACTTGCCCGCGGACTCATTCCCTATGGGAGGGGCCATTCACCGTCCACCTGTGGCTTTAGTCCCAAGTTGACCCTTGTTCCTTAGCTCTGTGCATAAGCACACTGGGAACAGGCTCCAGCTGTCCTTCTGCCCCACTGATGTCCGACTCTGAAGGAAGCTGCCAACTGTCAGATGGCCTTGGCCCTATCTCTGCCTCCGACACAGAGCCCTCATCAGAGCCTTCCCCAGACTCCAGGACTGGCCCATGTTCCCCCTCCAACCTCCTCACTGTCTGAATCTACTGCCAGCTCCGCTAGCCGTTTGATTTGATTTTTGATTTTGATTTTATTAAACTTCTATACCGCCCTTCTCCCAAAGGACTCAGGGCGGTGTACAGCCATATTAAAACACATATAAACCACAAAATTTAAGAACAATTTAAAAACAAATATATAAAATTTGGCCCACGAAATTAAAAACTAACAAACACCTAATTTAAAAATTCCTATTAGGCCAGCCCGGCTTGTTGGAATAAAAGAGTCTTCAGGGTGCGGCGAAAGGTACGCAGGTCGGGGATCATACGGACCTCTAGGGGCAGCTCATTCCAGAGGGCTGGTGCCCCCACAGAGAAGGCTCTCCCCCTGGGTGTCGCCAGTCGACATTGTTTGGCTGACGGCACCCTGAGGAGCCCCTCTCTGTGGGAGCGTATTGGCCGGTGGGAGGCTATCGGTGGCAGAAGGCGGTCTCGTATATACCCCGGTCCTAAGCCATGGAGCGCTTCAAAGGTGGCCCACTTTAAATGTTTGCGGGCCACAACAAACATTTTCAAGGAAACCAGCCATGAAAGTCCAGTCGCCTTTTGAAAAAGTACCTTTAGGACAACCTTATGACTTGGATGATTGAGAATCTCTAGAGACAAAAGTTTTTTCCAATTTTCTCAGAACCACGATTTTAATCCTTAACTTGCAATTCCCTTGCACATGCTCTTTGCGGAAAGGTAAAGGAGGTTTCATACAGGTAGTCCTCGACTTACGACCACAATTGAGCCCAACGTCTCTGTTGCTAAGCAAGACGGTTGTTAAGTGAATTTTACAACCTTCCTTGCCACAGTTGTTAAGTGAATCACTGCAATTGTTCAATTAGTCACACGGTTGTTAAGTGAATCTGGTTTTTCCCATTGACTTTTGGCTTGTCAGAAGGTCGCAAAAGATGATCTCATGACCCTGGGACACTGCAACCGTCATAAATATATGCCAGTTGCCAAGCGCCCAAATTTTGATCACGTGGCCATGGGGATGCTGCAACGGTCATCAGTTTGAAAATTGGTCACAAATCCCTTTTTTCAGTTCCATTGTAGCTTCGAACGGTCACTAAACGAACGGTTGTAAGTTGAGGACTATCTGTAGTGCTTTTGGGTTGATGCCAAACGTTGGTGACGGGATGATTTTCAAGAGCCACTTGGAGGGAAATGGACTGTCCTGCTAATTTCTTATAATTTATCGCTGTCAAATATAAGGAGGGAACATATCTCCCTATATTTATTTATTTATTTATTAATTTAATTTGTATACCGCCCTTCTCCCGGAAGGGACTCAGGGCGGTGAACAGCCAAAATTAAAAAACATACAAATGCAAAAGTTAAGATAATTAAAAGAATTAAATCATTGGCTACCCAAATTTAAAACCCCAAATCCATAAAATTTAAAATCCCAATTAAAAACCATTTAGGCTAGGCCGGCTTGATGAAATAAAAACGTCTTCAGGGCTTTACGGAAGGTCCGGAGGTCCGGGATCAATCGTATTCCAGGAGGCAGCTCATTCCACAGGGCGGGTGCCCCCACAGAGAAGGCTCGCCCCCTGGGGGCCGCCAGCCGACATTGCCTGACCGACGGCACCCCGAGGAGGCCCTCTCTGTGAGAGCGTATTGGCCGGTGGGAGGTTATCGGTAGCAGCAGGCGGTCTCGCAAATACCCTGGCCCTAAGCCATGGAGCGCTTTAAAGATGAGAACCAACACCTTAAAGCGCACCCGGAAGACCACCGGGAGCCAATGCAGCTCGCGCAGGAGAGGTGTTACGTGGGAGCGCCACGTCGCTCCCATAATCACCCGCGCAGCCGCATTCTGCACCAGCTGGAGCCTCCGGGTGCTCCTCAGGGGGAGCCCCATGTAGAGAGCGTTACAGTAGTCCAGGCGTGACGTAACCAAGGCATGAGTGACTGTGCACAAGGAGTCCCGATCCAGAAAGGGGCGCAACTGGCGTATCAGGCGAACCTGATAAAAAGCCCCCCTGGCCACGGCCGTCATATGCTCTTCTAAAGACAGCCGTGTGTCCAGGAGGACGCCCAAGTTGCGAGCCCCCTCTGTGGGGGTCAGTGACTCGCCCCCAATAGCCAGCGATGGCACCAGCTGGCTATACCGGGACGCCGGCATCCACAGCCACTCGGTCTTGGAAGGGTTGAGCCGAAGCCTGTTCCTCCCCATCCAGACCCGCACGGCCTCCAGACACTGGGACATCACTTCGAGGGCATCATTGGGGTGGTCTGGGGTGGAAATGTACAGCTGAGTGTCATCAGCGTACAGATGGCATCGCACCCCAAAACCACGGATGATCTCACCCAGCGGCTTCACATAAATGTTGAACAGGAGCGGCGAGAGGACCGACCCTTGCGGCACCCCGCAAGCAAGGCGCCTCGAAGTCGACCTCTGCCCCCCTGCCAACACAGACTGCGACCGGTCAGAGAGATAGGAGGAGAACCACCGCAACACGGTGCCTCCCACCCCCAGTCCCTCCAGCCGGCGCAGCATGATACCATGGTCGATGGTATCAAAAGCCGCTGAGAGGTCTAACAGGACCAGAACAGAGGAACAACCCCTGTCCCGAGCCCTCCAGAGATCATCCACCAATGCGACCAATGCCGTCTCCGTGCTGTACCCAGGCCTGAAGCCGGACTGGCACGGATCTAGATAGACGGTTTCATCCAGGAACTGTGGGAGCTGGCGCGCAACCACACTCTCCACAACCTTTGCAACAAAGCGAAGGTTGGAGACCGGACGATAGTTTGCCAAAACGGCCGGGTCCAGAGAAGGCTTCTTGAGGAGGGGCCTCACCACCGCCTCTTTCAAGGCGGGAGGCAAGAAACCCTCTCTCAGAGAAGCATTTATGATCCTCTGGAGCCAGCCTCGTGTTACCTCCTGGGTGGCCAGTACCAGCCAGGAGGGGCACGGGTCCAATAAACATGTGGTTGCGTTTAATCTCCCCAGGATCCTGTCCACGTCCTCAGGAGTCACAGGGTCGAACTCATCCCAGGTAACATTCTCAAGACCAGCCTCAGTCACCCCGCCGGGATCTACCCAGTCAGAGTCCAAGCCTTCCCGAATCTGAGCGATTTTATCGTGCAGATACTGTGCAAAATCCTCAGCCTGCCCTTGCAAGGGGTCCTCCCGTGCTCCCTGATGTAGGAGGGAGCGGGTCACCCTAAACAAGGCGGCTGGGCGGTTATCTGCCGATGCAATAAGAGCGGAAAAGTGGTTACGCTTTGCCGCTTTTATCGCCACTAGATAGGTCTTAATATGAGACCTAACTAGTGTTCGGTCGGATTCGGAGCGACTCGCCCTCCAACCACTCTCTAGGCATCTTTTCCGGCGCTTCATCTCCCTCAGCTCCTCGGAAAACCAAGGAGCCGGGCAGGTTCGGCGTCGGGTCAGAGGCCGCAAAGGCACGACTCGGTCCAGAGCACCGGCGGCTGTCCTATCCCAGGCAGCCACCAGATCTTCAGCCGAGTCGTGTGCCAGAGTTTCAGGAACTGGCCCAAGCTCCCTCTGGAACCTATCAGGATCCATCAGGCGCCTGGGGCGGAACCACCTGGTCGGTTCCGCCTCCCTGCAGTGGGGTGCAGCGGTCGAAAGGTCCAGTCTCAGGAGAGAATGGTCCGACCATGACAGGGGTTCAATAAC